ATAAATCTAACATTCCAGTATACTATAAGTAGATTCTAAGCGTTATTAGTGAATTCTAAATAAATATGAGATAACGAGTGATTTCAAAATTTTCGGAATCCTAAAATTGTTTTACTATGTCTCAAGATGATCAAAAACATTTATTCGCTACGCCCTAAAAATCAGAATCTAAAAAACAGACATGCTATGAAACTTTTAGTCTTTTCCCTCATAATTCCACCTCCATTGGACCGAATTTCAAAGAATAAAAAGCCTAGGCATGCTACTGACGTAGAGTTAAGTCATTTCCTAGTTAAGGAGGGGTTAAGAATTACCCGAAGACAATATACATAAGGATGTAAAGAATGTCAATTTTCAGGCATTCGCAAATGGGAATACGAATACGAATATCCACTGCCAATATTTGCAAATACAAATAGTCAGTTTTTCTTCTCTGTATGCTACTTGAACGATAGAAGGCTGGGAAGCTTGAATGTTTGAAGTTTGATATTCCTCTATTTCAGCTTGACTATAAACTTGCCGTTAAAGAAATCGTTTATAAACAAAGACTGATAAAATTTAAGTTTTTGTTTGAAGCTGCTATCCCATAATTCACTTCGGTGTGTTCAGTTTATTGCACGCTCTTTTTACCGAAACTAAGCTTAACAAACCTGAGCTGAGGAAGGTTTTGTCCTTACTTGCAGCGTTTAGGTTAAGTTTATTTTGTTTTTTTCAGTTTGCTTACAATTCTATTTCTCTGGCGATCCAAGTCAACAAACTGCAAAAATGCTTAGTCCTTAGCGTAACTCCATGTTAAATTGAAAAAATTAAATAAAATCTTGCAGGATATATCTATTATGATTAAGGTTAACTCACAAGCCAGACATTTACTGATCTGACAGCTTCATCTCAATTTGGACTGTCTCAATCCACTAACAAAACCATCAAAACTCATGCTTTCTAATGACAAATACGTGATTATAACACCAAGGGAAAAAATATGTGAAGAATAAGGTATTTGTTTGTATCTTAGATGCTTTTCTAGAAAACAAATAAACTGACATTTCTTGCTTTATTCAAATACGTTAAATCATTTTCACTCGCCTGAATTTCGCGAATGCAGACGCGAATGCCAAAATCAATAACTATGCGCATTCGGAAAAATACAGATCAAACAGATTAGAATAATAAAAGGCCGACTTTCAGTTCCGTCCCATACAACCCCCAAGCCCTAATTTCCAATTTTTCAAAAAAATTTAAAAATCGGCGTCTTTAAAACGTCGAAAAAAGATTTTCAGATATTAGTCCATTGGACCATATTTCAACATGAAAGTTGTTTGTCTTTGGCATCAACGCCATATGAAATAAGTAAACAGATCGACTCTCCGTACCATGGGCGCAGACTAATCTTCAGCGCATCTGCTACTCTCTCAAGTAAGCATTAAGTGGGTTACAGGGGCCGCTGTTTTCATCCTCTTCCTGGAAATACTCTTATAAATTTAGCAAGAGCTGTCGGCCTTCTCCATTGATCGTATTTCCGGGCATTGTACAATTTTATATTGAAGATTGATAACAGAACACCTCAAATCGCACGCTGATATCAAGTAAGTAGTCACTCTGACAAATATGATTGGAGGACACTCATACGTAACGACAAAGTTTTCGAGACAGAGACACACAACTAAAAAACGTATGTCTTTGAGCTTACCGAATAGACGTTCACATATATATGTGAAGGGATACTGGTAGTCGTACTTTGACCCGCCAAGAACGGGGACTACAACTGTACCTACCTACATGTCATGTATTATTCGAAAAAGGTGATATCTTATTCTCACAATTACTATACTTACACGCCAATTCGAATAATATTTGCACGGACTAAATAGTAACGAAAACAATTTAATAAGTACCAGATTAAAAACAGAATTCACGTACACAAGATATTATAGACAGTGGATTGTCACTGTATTTATCATCTGATGAAAACATTTTCCTTCAATTAATGGATGCCTTCAATTATTTATTTCATTGCCGGTAAGTGTTGCGATATCTGAGAGAAGTTTCTTCCATCTAAAGAGGATAAAAAAGAATAGGCGCCTTGATTTTGTAATATGATAACACCTGAACTTTGCCTAAGGTTGTCTCGAAAATACATCTCCCTTCTGTTGGCCAATAAATAAACAAACAGATGTAGTTAAGGGTTTATTTACGTTTAAACCACCTTGGTGATCTTTTCTAAAGTATCCAGTCAAGATATGTGGTTTTATTTATTGGCCAGCAGATTGATATAAAAGTCTGTTCAAATTCTGTTCAAATCACTTTCTAAGCTAATGTAATGATTGTTTTACGAGTATTTTGAGACTCTAAACTGATATTGTTTCATAGTTTATATGCTTTTGTTTTTTGAGACTGGCTAAGAGAATGTAGTTATGCAATGAATATTTTTGTGTTTTTCTCATGGTTAAGAATTTTATTTTAATTTACATTCAGTTTTATACTTAATAGAAGTCGTACCATATTTGTTATTGTTATTTTTTTCATGAAGATGTATTTTTTGTTGTTTTGTCTGACACTGTTATGTAGAAAAGTCTGCGATAGATTACATTATTTTGCATTTTTGTTTTAATATAAGAAGATTGCTCGAGCTTGGTTTGCTTTATTTACACTTTGATTTCGTATGATTCAAAATTTGAAAAAAATGTATGTATTTTCTACAGAAATCACTGTAATAAATTCATATGTCTGCATATGTCCTTGCTTTTAATGTTAAATCATTATAACACTTCAGTACGTCACACTGAGAATTTACTTTCCATTTTACCGCTCCTAGACTGAAATCCTGTGAGCGCCACTGTCCGTTGGAGTGTCTATCTGTCGGTGTGTCCGCTAATTCTATAACCGCCGATAACTTAAGAAGTAAGGCCCGGATTTCGATGAAATGTTACTATAATGCGAAGGATGTAAAGGCTTATATTTTTAGAAAATCGTTCCAATGACAGTGCAGAAAAAGGCCAGAAGCTGAAACAAATAAATATTGCTCAAAATTCGTTTTTTGTTGTTTCAGTCGATCCCGATCATTTTCGGAAAAAGTTTTTGTGGTGGTTAAATTATCCGTAAGACATATGCCCCTAAAACTATTTTGTGATCTTTGTGAGAAATGCTGGTTTGCTTCGTTCGGCAATCTATAACGAAAATGTTGATGTGTTAGATACTGCGACTTCGGCCATATGTCTTCATTCATTCGTCTTTCATCTTCGGAGCTATGTAGTTTTTCGGATTCAGGGAAAGGAAAACAGTCTCTACATAATCCAAACATCAACATTCGAATGTTCGCTTCATGTTTAAGAAACAACCTGTATAATGTACATGATGCATGAACCTTTGGGGAACGCTTGTGCGCATACATTGGAGGGTCTTAGAATAGCAAATGACAATAGTCGCAAAATTCTGCGTGAAATGAAAGTAAACTTCTCTCCTAATCTAAGACATCCATATTTCTTTCATTATAATGTTTACCTGCTCTGAATGATAGCCTCGTCAGGTACAAAAAATCCTGCAATCCACACTTTATACGTCAGATCAGAAATCCCTCTGCTTTATATCTGGAATCCGCGGTATAATCCTTAAAATACACGCCGCACTGGCCAGACCTAAAAAGCCATGACGGAAGGAATACAAAGGCCAATTCGAATACCGGGCAATATATCAAGTTGGCCACGATGAGAACAATTGAATGTGGCGGTGGAGAGGCAACGGGAAATGCCTTCTTCGCAAATATTTAGAATGTGTGGACAGGTATTCAGCTTTTAATGTTCCCAATGATTAATACTTCCAGTTCGATGTCTCTTTCGGGTGCATTGTGCTGTTTGAGAATGGGATATTCAGAGGCCTACAGTTATCTATACGTCTATCGTTGACAGCCGTATTTCGGCGCAAAACTCAATAAAAGGGGGAGGTTTAGCATAGTGGCACATATTCGATGTTGCACAAGTCTCAAAATATCCGAGTATTGTGATGATAAAAAATAGTCAGTTGGCGTTACCGAAACTAAATTATTTGGATTGATTTTTTGTACACCAGTGATGGTTTATCATATATTTTACAATGTATTATATGAGTAACAAATCCTTCAAAACTTCTCAAAAAGTTCAGTGCCTAATTTTTAATTTCGATGAGAAAGCAAACATGACCCTTGCCTCATGGTGAAATGCGTCGTAGGTAGGTACACTGCCATGGTTGGACACACACAGCATAAATTTCTTTTAATAAGAGTTGCCATTTTGATCATCCTATCCTAAAGATCAAAAAGCATTGTTTGATTTAGCTATGTCTTATGGAATAGATGATACACATGGAAAAGCTGTCCTGGCTACACTCCTTATCACCGTAGCAAGTCTTTGCAACAGATACGTTGAAAAATAGGGGCACTGGTAGTTTAGCTAAGAATTAATGTCATATGATACTCTAATCTAATCGCGATGATTAAACAAATGTCTAAGGTTGAAAAATTTAACAATCGTATTGCTGAGATTAGGAAAGTAAAGGCTTTAACATCAGGCTCCAGGTCTTAATAATATCTGTTTTGTTTATTCATAAGTTTATTTGTTATTACGAATACTGTTAATATTTTTCAGTGTTCGCCTTTATATCAACGTTGCCCAAAGTTACTTGCTTATTAACGCAGAGACGTTAAAATGAGAATATCAACAACATGGGCCTATGGGCCGCGGCGTAAAATAACATGCAAATCCTGGAAGCATTGCGAACTCTAATGCGCCATATATGAACACTTACCTCGTCGGAAATAAATGTACAAAATTTGATTTACGACCAGGCAGAATTAGAGATTTAGTGTAGGTTTTAAGTAGAATTAAAAATCAATGGACCGTAAGCAACAAATGATAGAGGATAATTCCCGTGGCCGCTGTATTGAGATCAACATAGGTTAATTTGTTAAAAGCATAAAGGCATAAATGGGCTGAAGAGTAAGGATTAACGACCGGTAACATATTTATAAAATGACACATATCCATAGTCTACTTGAATCATCTTGTATATTCGGCATACACTTTCACCTAAAGCTACGAGTTTAATCCGTTGTATAAATAATATCAAGTGATTCTCGTCGATATAATTCAGTTTAAACACCGTCCGTATTTTTCTAGGTGACACAATAAACAGCGAGAAGTACAATAGGAAGGTTCGCCATTGTTTTATTTTTACTCAAATCGAGAGACTTTGTTATTAAAAAACGATAAAAAAATTGAGCAAAAAATATTGATATTTACGTGCACTAAAAGCATTTCAAAATCAAGGATTGGCGCGAGGCTGGAAAACGTACCTGTGCGCGAGACTAGACCGCGTGGCGTGTGTAGCCAGACACACCTCGCTAGCTGGCGCGCTGCATTTACAACAAGGCCGCAGTAATCGGTTTGGAGAAGTTAAAGCTGGTACGACAGATTATTGTTAAATTCTGTGAACTTTGACGGTATTAAATGTCGAACAGAAAGTGATGTTTTGTGCCAAAATGTACAAGTACGTCAAGTACAACACCACAAAAAAAATTTGTGAGTATTCCAAAAGCTGTCGCACAACGTAAAAAGTGGTTTGACGCAGTTCGACGGGATTTAAAATCAGTTTCTTCCACGTCGATCATGTACTGCTGCGAAGATATTTTGACCTGGAAAAAGATATGGAAAACTATCTACAATACAAGATGAGTACCGTTCGAGCCCGTATGAATCCTGATATTGCACCTCATAAATTTGCATGTCAACTGGGTAGACAATTAAGCTCTACGAAACGAGTGTTCAGCGAAAAAAGGGCAAGGCAGAAAGACATCGCCAAATATTTTCAGGTATGTGACATGACACTTGAACATAACCAACTGCAGAGTCTCCGTAATCCAGATCTAAATCAAATTGTTATTATGGGTAGTCATTCTAAGCGGAATATTAGTCAACGTTTAGAACCTGGCTTCATTACAGATAACCGGATTGTAGCCCTAAACTTTGTTATTTTAGTAGCAATAAAATTCTATAATGTGACTGCCCCCCCCTAATTTAAGTATTCCCTTATAGACCCTAAAAAAATAAGATTGTCTCTACATCACTGGAATTTATCTCATTGAAAACATATTAGGTACACCGTACTTTACTTCAGGATAGTGTAATAGAGCCTCATGATGCATGCAAAAAAACAATTTCGGGGCTCTTAAGAGGCGTAACTAGGTAAAAAAGTATTTATGATAATTTATATTCCATAATATTTTACCTAGGAAGAAAAAAGCAGAGATAAATAGCCTTCAAAATCATTGTCACGAGCAGACATTATTATGTCTTAATATTATTAGCTTTCAGTACACTAAAGCAAAGCAGGATCAATTTTTGCGGAGAAATACAAAAAAATACTACACATTGGAGCTGAACAAAAAAAAATAACTTCATATAGGTACTTACCGAACTACTTTAACAGCGCTGCTCTGAGGTTCATTTAAATTTGCATTATTTGCCAAAAACTCGTACACCATTTCCACATTCACGTGGGGTGAATTTCGTGAATCCGCTTTCTGATAACCTTGGAGCATTGTGCTAGCACAAATAAATAAAGTAGACAAACGTCGGTCCCAGTTTATATAAATTCGTATTCGTATACTCTTCACTCCGTATACAAAACAATACAAGATACAAGTACTCTTTGAAGGCCTCAGCACGTGTCTGGCTACTGACGTCACGCGGTCTAGTCTCGCGTACAGGTACGTTTTCTAGCCTTGCGTCGATCCTAGATTTTAAAATGCTTTCCGTCGACGTAAATATTATATTTTGCACTCAAATTTCTTTGACCGTTTTTTAATAACAAAATCCCTCGATTTTAATTAAAATAAGAGAAATACGAAAAATGTCGAACCTTCCTATTGAGTTATACTGCTGTGCTAAGTACAGTTTTCGGGCATATTTTGTTATTGTTTTGGATATGGCCATACTATATGATATGTTATGATACAATAGCTTTTTTAGAATCCGTCATTGATATATCTGTACAAATAAATCAGATGGTCCAAATGTTGACGCCTTTCCCTGGATGTGATATTAGGTGCAAATACCCCCCCTGCGCCTAGTGCGGCAGTACACTTGTAAAAAATCGATGACGTTCCATATTATTTGTCGCATCATGCCCACAAGTATGAAAATTGACTAACACATACCTATGTACAGCCCAAAAATTGTAAAAAAATCGTCCACTACTTGAAAAATGTTAATAGACCCTTTGACTAACAATTAGATAGACATATGAGTTACACAGGTTTTCGTGATTTAGGTAGTATGTCATTATGGAAATTCATGCTATCATAATAACAGATCGATAATGTGTGAAAAACAATATTGTTATCGATAGAATAACATCCATATAACCATTCTTTTCGATACCTCGAAATGCAGACAACAGCTTCATTGATAACATTCGATGGCGGCAGCCAGGCAGATGTTTCCAGCTTTTTTCTGTAAAAAAATATTTGCATGAAATGGCCAGTACACCGTTGACAGCGATCGATACACACCTATAATCATTTGTTGGCGGGTTTTCAGGAGCGCAGTTGCGTGAAAATTAGTCAACTAGAAGTGATTCGATCCTATCGATATCCATTGAAGGCCATGTGTGATGCAGAGGATAACATACTTTGTATATACATATGGTATGTGATGTTCACCTATACACAGATACAATTTGTTCCGATATAATTCCGATGGAAATAAAACTTTAACTATGCCTGGATTTTCTGAATGTGAATCCATACCCAGTACTAGAAATCATCGACAAAGTCCGAGTTTTGATACTGAAACTTACCCCTACTGGGTACAGTATACAACTTCTTCCCGTTCAAGTGACTGTACACGCGTTAAGGAATACCTCAGTACCGATTGCCAAGTCCGCCAACGGGCCACTTTGGGTCTATTTAATATCATTAGCTGGTAAAAATGAGGTGGTAGACAAGGACCAGTCGACCGAGCCGGTACCACCCGCTAGATTTTCCCAGGGTGTCTTATAAATGATATATATTTACACACCTAAGCTATGCAGTCCGTTATCTTCCAAAACAAATAAATGCTCCAGATATTATGTGGCTTCGCCTCAACTCCAAAACATCCTCCAAATTTATTTGCTGCCTTTATCGCTCTCCCTTGGACCATAACTGGAATGACCTACTTGAATACCTCGCCGTCAAGATAGACTTCCTGAACATCAGTCACCCCGCTAGGTAGTTCTTCTCGGTGATACTATTCGTCATTGTCTGTCAGAGCGGTCCGTAGGACCTTTGCTCTTGGTTGAAGTCTTGTAAGTCAGTAGGTCTGTCAGGTCTGGTTGCCCAGATACCAAACAAAGTCAGGGAGAAAGAAGGGAAGAAGAAAGGAAGGAAGGAATGAGAGAGAGCAAAGAAAAAAGAAGTGCATCAATTTGAGGGGTGCCTTGGCATTGCTAAAAAAAATCCTAAAATTAATTTTGGGATTGGTTGTTGAAGAAAAATTATAATTTTGGTTGGACCTAAAGTCGCACGATTTAATTTTGTTCACAGTGCGAGTCGCGGCCTTGTGTGCTTGCGAACTTGCTCGACTGTGTAGTCTACTGACTCGCGTAACAAAGGGTTGTTATGCGATTCTGCTTGACTGTAACGTAGCTGCGCTTGTTGTTTGATGTAGTCCCTTAGGTAAGGGTCTTCTCGGTGATTTCAATGCCCATAATCAGCTTTGGTTGGGCTCAAATAAGACCAATGCAGCAGGTCGTGCAGTTGAAGCGTTCGCTCATACTCAAGGGCTGGCCCAGCTGGTGACGAGCCCTACCTTTTTCCCCCGCGTCTCGTCACATGCCAGTAAACTGCTGGATCTCTTTCTGACCACGCATCCTGCCTCTTACAGCACTGCTGTCCTGTCCCCCCTGGGTAAGTCAGACCACGGTGTTGTGGAGGTTAGGTTTCGGTCAGAACCCGCTGTGGCAGCTGGAACTCGCGCAGCCCGCAAAATTTGGCATTACGGACATGCCGACTGGGAGGGGCTCAGAGACTCCTTTCCTTGGAGAGATGTCTGTTTCACTAACGCAGATGCGTCGGCTGTCTGTTCTGCGATAACCGAAATTATCCACGTCGGAATGGAGAAATACATCCCTCATACAGTGAAAGTGCCTAAACCAGCGTCCAATGGCTGGTTTAACAAATCGTGTGACACTGCTCGCCAGCAGAAGATCAAAGCACACAGAACCTTCTTACAAAGGCCCACTGTAGAGAACAGACAATCCGACTTCGAGCCCAGAAACAAATATAACGAAGCGGTTAGGCAATGCCAAACACCAGTACGATATAAAAGTTAGGCACAAGGTAATGTCGCATCGCAATAGCAGTCGGTATTTCTGGACGCTGGCCAAGCAGATTGAAAAGTACTTCTTCCCCAGTAGCCTTCCATCAGTTACGTGCCAGGATGGAACGATTGTATCCGACTCAAAGGCCAACGTGGAAGTGCTTGCCAAAATCTTTGCTGCCAACTTCACAATGGACGTCCCCCCTCCAACGCCCAAGTACCGTCAATTCAAAGGGTTTCCTGCACTATGCGGAAGGTAACATTCAGGCATAAGACCGTAATACGACTGCTCTTGTCGCTCGACATCGACAAAGCTTCTGGTAAAGGAGCTTGCTCCAGTTCTTTCGCGTCTCTTCCAGATATCTTATGAATCTGGCATCTTCCCAGAAAACTGGAAGGATCTAAGACCGACCCTTGCAACTACAGGCCTATAGTTCTGCTTTCTGGTATAAATAAGGTGATGGAAAGGTGCATAAATCGCGAGCTTTCGGACTACCTCGAACGTCACGGCTTGATTAGCGACAGGCCTTATGGTTTCTCTTAAGCAAGCTTCCATCCTATGGCCTCTCAGAAAAACTCTGCAGATAGGTGGCTGACTTTATCTCTGGCCGCAAGATATCCGTAGTAATTGACGGGTTCTCCTCTTCATCTCACAACATCAACTCGCGTTTTCCCCAGGGATTGGTTTTGGCTCCGACACTGTTCCTCTTACATATCAACAACCTCCTTTCCTGCACGATCAACCCAATCCACAGCTTTGCTGATTACAGCACTCTACATGCAGGAATTCAGAGTGACAAGCCGATCTCTGCCACTGAGCTGGAAAAAAGAAGACTAGCGACAACTTCCCCTCTGACGAGAAACCTGGGGGTTATCACTGCTTGGGCACGCATCAATCTTACACAGTTTAATGCTTCCAAAACACAGTACTGTACCTTGACGAACAAAAGCGTCCTAGCGCTCATTCGATTTCGATGGATGGCCGAGTTCTGCCAAAGAGCCATTCATTTCGGTTGGTCGGACCTGATCTGGTACGAAGACATCTCGTCAATAGCGGCAGCTGCTGGGAAAGAGCTAGGCTATTTGTTTAGGGCTAAGAAGTACTTTTCTCCGCATGACCTTCTCACTCTATACAAGGCCCAGATAAGGCCTAGCCTAGAGTATTGCTCACACGTTTGGGGTGCAGCCACCCAGACTACATTATTTATGCTCGATGCTGTCCAGAGGAGGCTGTCCGAATGATCGATGGCTCTTCTCTAATAGACAGTCTCGGGACCCTTTCGCACCGGAGGGCGGTCGGCGATCGTACGTCCAGAACTGGCCGATACGACCGCTCCTTTGTCCCGATTGTGGAACAATCTACAAGAGGAAGCTTTCCCTAGTCCTACTAACTTTAGGCAGTTCAAAAATCGAATTAACAAAATTTCTTTGGGATCATCATTGCAGCCGCGGTGTCCCGGCATTTAGGCTTCTGCCTGCGTGACTGCTTCGATATATAAAAACACTGTTTGTAATGAAACGTGAATGATTCAATGTATACAAATTATTATTTTTTTTTATTTTCATCTTGTGTAAATTTTTGACGACATTGTCTATTTTATAATTTAAAATGCTTGAGCTCCCTACAAACATTCCTCGAGCACGAGTTCGAGAAAATTGAGATGATGAATAGCGAAATAAGACAGCATAAAGTTCAATGTATCGCCAGAGTCGACCACTTTGGGTTCGCTTTGTCAACCGAGTGACTACTGTGGCCGTTAGATTCCGCCAGTTCTGGAACTTTGGTAGATTCGATGTACTCGCCATTGAACATCTAGTAATATAGCTTTCGTTCGTAGAGCTGCTCGGGTTTCGTTCGTTGTCTACAAAGATCAAGCCTATAGCATGCTGAAGAGTTGCCAAATAGTACGCAAAAGCTATCCATGGTTGACCATCTGTGATCTTACGAACGAAATTACTAGTTTGTTCAACGGCGAGTAAACCGCATCTACTATAGTACCAGAATCGACGGCATCTAGCGGACACAGTAGTCACCCGGCTAGCAATGAGAACTGGCATATAATTCCGACACGCAGCTTGCAGTTTTCACTTCGCAGTGGTCGGTTCTGGTGGTAGGTCGCACTTTGTGCTGTCTCATTTCGATAGACCTTATACTCTGAATAGAGTAGAGTTGCTGGGCTTGCGTTCGTTATTCACCGAGACCAAGCATACATGATGCTGAATAATTGCCAAATAGCATGAAACAGCTATCCATGGTTGCATAACAAAAACAAATCAACCAAAACAGACCCGTAAACAATCAGTACATACTCCTTAGTTTCCAGCCATTTGATAACGCGAATGCTAGTTTCTTCGCTGTCCTAAGTATCGACCGTCTGACAACGCTGCTGGACCACTCGAGTCAAACCGTTACCCCCGAGAGAACAAGGCCAAACAACTGGGCTGCGAAAACACTGTGACGTCACGCATAGTAGGCCTATGCATATTCTTGTGGAATTTCGCGATGCTGGCCGGCAAGAGAGCCATACCAGCATTTCTCTGCGCTGTTGACATATTTAGATTTAATATAGCAGTATCGAAATCTCTACTAACTAGTTGTACCTCTCTGTGGGCAATCTTTCAAGATATGCTAGGGGCCTTCGCAGCTTTAATGGTGATGTGATTATTCTTTCTGATATGCCTCAATATGTCAAGAACACATTTTCGATATTACATTCAATCTGTCACCTCTGAAGTCTAATATTCCATTCGAAATTGAAATATGTGGCAACCTTTGCGACCCCGCTAAAATCCAACAAGTAGCTAGCAGCCAACTAACCTGAAATTCTGAGCTACTATTCTGTATGTTTTTTTGCTTTGTAAACTATAAATTATTTGTTTTAAACTTATATTTGTGGATCGCGACTGTTTCTCTAAGTTTTCAAAACGTCTTACAAGTGCTGCGTTCCTAATTGTGCCGGTAATTTCGGTGAAGGTCCGAAGGTACACGTATTTTCGAAGGTACAGTCGCAAAAGATGGCTCAATGCAATCCCTCGTAGTGATTTAGTGATTACAAAAAACACCACACCATGCAATTTGCACTATGCTGAGGACAGCATTATTTGGGAATCCACCTTTCGTGACGAAAAGACAGGTAGGACCCTTACTGTACCCCTTAAGTATCCAAAATTAAATGCAGATGTAATTCCACGTATCTTTGCAAATTATCCAAAATACCTTTCAAAGTCATATCAAACAGAAGAAACCGATATGAAAAATTGATTGTTAATGCACAATAATAGTGCACTGAATAGTAAAGCGATGGTACATTTTTCTCCAGATAGTAATGCAGGCATTGTTTATCAGCATCCGTTGGATAAAAACGTCCCCTTTTGTTCCTCTTTGATACAGTGCTCCTTATAAAATATATCCGGAATAATTGGCTGAATCCAAAACCAGACCAAATTTTTAACATACCCAGATTTTGAAATACATGAGGTAAATGTTGCTTCATTTAAATATCTTGAAACATTGTATCAAATCAAAAGTCATAAAATATTGAAACATGGTTATGGTTTGACCCTAAAAGCTTTATATCCTACCATCCTTGAAAGACAAAAATGTTCATTTAGCTCTGATAGCTTTATAACATCAACTTATTACTCAACTGTGCACGTAATGTTGGATGGAATATCAGTGAGAATCAGAGTAAAAATAGTTAATAACTTATTTAATATTTTCCACCAGGTTGCCTTCACATACCAAAAACACTTTTCTGAATTATCCGTCATTTACATCAGGTAGAGTATGTTAAATATCGTCTGCTAAATACGTTAAACTGCTAACTCCATTTTCATCACTTTGGTGATATTTATCTATGTCACAACTATGACTCCTTTTCTATCATACCAAAACTAAATGTTTGTCAAGTTCGTACGAAAACTAATTGAAAAGCCATGATGAGTAAAGCTGCTAACTGATTCCCACACTTTATTCATCGAAATGCTGCTATCTCCAGTCAAAACAAAGTGACAGGTGCATGTGTGCTCCTCAAACGCTCTTCAGCTCTAGAATAAATGTGGCTTCTTTTTTAAATATCACAGTTTGACACTAGTTTGGTGTTCCGGTGATACTTTTTGATGAAAGGTAAGTTTGATTTTGTAAAAAGATGTTTATTTTGGATTGTAGTAAACAAAATTACCGTTATGTTGGAGTGGCAGCTTTTCTCTTAAATTACGTTTGGGCGTATTTGGGAGACATCAGTATTTATTATTTTTTTTTTTAATGAAATTGACTTCTTGAGTTAGCTATTGGTGTATGGGTGTGCCATTTTTTTTATTTTTTGAACAACAATCGGTTACCAATGTAATGGTTTGTTGACCTACACTACCGGTGTCTAGGTTAGGTTGCATACTAGCGTATTTAAATCGTAGTCATACGTCGTATAACTGTACGCTGGCGCTGTGGACGTGATCGGGGGTCAGGACCGTCTTCGGTTTGGTTCAGGTTTGACTGAGTTTGCGGAGCCCAATATCTCGGTTCTCTTAGGACATTGATGTATATGAAAATCCGCTTATTTTCTCAAGGTCTACAGGTCGTATAAAGGAAAACCCTAACTTTGCGGACAATCTGTATAACGCTCATATATTAAACAAAAATGAGGCAAGAGCAGAAAAACAAAAGGATGTGGAAAACGAGAAATGCGTATTTACTGTTGATCTTCAAGTTGTTTTAATGTCTCCTAAATCTAATATTAGCAGCTCATATAGGAAGACAAAATTATGCGTTCACAGCCTTTACTTTTATGATAATTATGCTCAACAAATTGTTTCTTCTGGCATGAGGAGAAAGGTGGACTGACCGCAAAAGAATTTTCCCCATGTTTCTACTCATTTTTGCAAACAAAACTCATTCCTACAATGGGCAAAGATGACCGAAAGATAATAATGTGATGGTCGTACGTACCAGAACAGAAACGTGACTTTGGCCTACGCAGCTCTAAATTTATGCAGAAAACATGATATTACACTAGAGAATAAATATTTAGAGGTTGGACATACTCAAATGCAAGTAGATTCCATGCATGCTATCATAGAACGTTGTGTAAATCGAGTAAGGCTAAACGTCCCTGCAGATTATGCATACCACTGCAAAAAAGCTAGAAGAAATCCTAAGCCCTACGAGGTAATGTACTTAGATCACTCTCCCGATTAATCAAAAAAGTTAGGAGCTGTCAGAAGTATTTGACCAGGGAATAAGCTAGGAGAACCAAAAGTAATAAAAACATTTAAATTATAAGAGTGCTTGGTATATTTAATTGTTTAATTTTTATTTGTAGGTAACAGTAGGGGACATCTATTCTAAACTTCGGCTGTCTGATGAATGGGAATTACTTTCGCATAGAAAATCTTAAGTTGACATTATTGCCTGGACAGTGTTGGACCATCTGTATAAAGAGAAAACTCTAATATCTGCGCGAAAATATTCCGACCTTCAAGAAATTAACTGTACTATTCCAGCGTACTATCACCATTTTTATAATAATTTGCCACACCTGTGAATTTGTAGATGTTTTAGTATAGATTTTTTGATAATTTTGAATACACACAATAAATATTCTACTAAAAATAAAAGTTGCTAACTCCAAAATTCCTTATTTTCTATTCAAATGAACAACTGCCAACTCCAGTTATTATTATTATTATTATTATCTATTTCTTGTTAACCCATCGAAAATATCATCAAAAGTATTCTTTAATAGCAGCTTGTTTAAATGCAGACAATGGTGGTAAAATCGTTTTTTGTTCCTCCCGTAAGCCTCGCAAAAAGGAGTTAGCAGTTTAACATATTTAGCCGACGATATGCTGCGATAACAATATATACTAAGTGACATATAAATCCGAACACCCAGTTTAAATGGTTTTATTTTAATAAAATTTTGTATAAGTACTTAATGAAGCATAATAAGTAAATGATAAAAATTTCAAAATGATTGCACTGCTTTAAACCCCTTGACCTTTAATAATGTGTGGATGCACCCTGATGTGCTACGCATTCTCCAACGCGCCTAGGCATGCTTCTGATCAGGTGGTCAATGTCCTCCTGTGGTATCTCATTCCAGGCAACCACCAACTCCTCTCGAAGTGCTTCTAGAGTCTGAGGAGGACGTTGCAAATTGAGCAATCTCCTACCCATCATATCCCACACGTGCTCAATTGGGGATAAGTCGGGAGATCTTGGTGGCCATGGTAACAATGTGACATCATTATGTTGAAAGAAGTCTATTGTAACTCTTGCAACATGTGGTCGGGCATTATCTTGTTGGAAAGTTGGATCTGCCAGGGTGTCAAGATAGGGTAAAAGATGGGGTTCTAGAACTTCGTGGATATAACGCTGCGCGTTCATGTTACCTCTGATGAAGATTAAAGGTCACCTGGAACCATAAGCTATAGCACCCCAAAACAAAACTCCAACAGTGTGATGAACATGTCTTTCAACAAAAAACTGTGGATTCCTCCTTTCACCACGTCGCCTTCTAACCCTGGCACCACCATCGTGCATGCCTAAACAAAATCGAGACTCGTCACTAAAGACAATACTGTTCCATTCCTGATCCCAGAGTGACCGTTGTCTGCACCACTCAAGGCGATTACGTCGGTGTTCTCGAGTTAAAGGGAGGACCCAGTGTGGCCGGTATGAAAACAAGCCAAAAGTTCTCATTCGTCGGTAAACACTTCGCATGCCAATAGGTCTTCCGTGTTCTGCAAACCATTCATTTGCAATGGACCTGGTAGTGGAGAAACGGTCCCTTAAGGCCAATAATCTTAGGCGGCGATCTTCACGGTCTGTTGTTCTACGGCGGCGTCCAGTGCCCCTTGCGGTACGGCCTTCTCGAAGCCAGGCCTGACAACACCTAACCACAGTATCTACACTTCTTTGCACTCTAACTGCAATTGCCCGAAAAGAAAGTCCAGCTTCCCGAAGTCCTACTATACGGCCCCTATCAAACTCACTAAGTTGACGAAATCGTACAGGTATCCGTACTCTAGGCATCGTAACCGATCGTAAAGGATGTCAAGAACCAAAATCCGCCAACGTTGATTCTTTAGTGCGGCTGAAATATTCATTTTTAGAGCGTTAGTGAATTAAAAAAAAACCAGTATAAAAACCGGAATGTCCAACTGATAAGGCTGAAAATTTTTTCACTTGTTGTTTACAGTAAGATAAATACATTCACCAACTTTTATTAAAATAAAACCATTTAAACTGGGTGTTCGGATTTATATGTCACTTAGTATATTATTCACTAGCGCTGATGTACGACACGCCGTGCTATCGGCCGGCCGGCCTACTCGTGGTAACGTCACGTGTCTGTTGTCAGGCCTTGTTCTCTCGAAGGTAACGGTCAAAATCGCCCTGTATGGGGCACTAATAGCAGCAGTCCCGTAATTTCAATCCGAAAAATGTTTGAGACGAAAAGCGAGATAACTGAGATATTTACTATGGAAACTGACCCAGGGGGGCCAGGAAATGGCGCTTTCACCATGGCAATCGAGACGGAGTCGAGGGAGCAGGCCGTAGAGGAGTTGACAGTCGAATTGGAGATGGTTCGACAGGAGCTGTCAAAAAAGGACGATGATAAGAAGACCATTGAAAGAATGATGTTGATCATCGAAGCCCAGCAGCGGACAATTGACGAACTAACAGTTAAATTAGACCTTCTACTGAAAACCCAGGTACCTTCCCATCTAAATACTATACATTCTTCCCAAACACTCCAACAAAATCCTAGTAAAGACAAAGCTTTCAATCTTAAGAGACCGTTAAATAATTCAAGCGATCATTCCACTGACGACGATTCACTCCTTGACGGCTTTGTCACGGTTAATCCGCGACGAAACAAGACCAACATGACAGGCTTTCCTCCTCCACCACCAATCGCAGTCTGAAACGTCTCGTTCAACTGCAAGCGACTCGAATAAACAGCCTGTGCCTAATCTATCGGTTACTTCTTCGCCTTCGACATCTCAGGTATCAGAAGACACGACTGCACAGCCCCCACGCAAGGTACGTGGTACCCCCATCGTTCTTCGCGATGCTTCGAGATGGCGAGGCGTAAATCACAATTTTATTTCTTTGGGAAATCAAATTCGAACACTTTCTCTCTACCCTCGGAGAGGAATATTCATGCTGTAATCATAGGAGTACCTGCGACACTTTCGGAAACGGAGATCAAGGAAGATTGGCGGCACGCCCATTGCTTTGGTGGTAGTCATACTGCCCAAGATAGAAAAATCTCAGCAGCTGTTCAACGAACATGAGCTGCTAGGTTTGGCTATCCGAGTCGATATTCAAAAGAACTCAAGACTCATCGGGCAGTGTCACCGCTGCCAAAAATATTATGGCCATACGCAATCTTACTGCACTGCACCACCTAAGTGTCTAAAATGTGCTTCTGACCATATGACCCAATTATGCCCTCAAACAGAACAAGAGGAACGAAAGTGCGCGAACTGTGGAGGGGGGCACTCTGCGAATAGCCGAACTTGCAGATTTGCCCCTAGGAAAAATCTGCAAGTGATAGCGCAAAGGCGCAATGTAAGTTACGCCGATGCAGCTAGGGATGCAACCTGGGCTGCCCCCTCTGTGGGATCTTCTGCGAACACGCAAAATGTGGACCTAGCAACCGCGCTAAGGCTCTTACAGCAGATCATAAGTCCTCTGATTAACGCAACACAAGCTTTGCAGGCGATCTTTCCTACAAATGGCTAGGTACAATAAACGACAGCCTGCATTTGTCAAAATTCTTTTATGGAATTGTTTGGGTCTAAGGGACATTCCCAAGAAACGGGAATTTCATCAAGCTCTTTTGGACGAAAGTATAGATGTGGCCTTGCTGCAGAAAACATCACTTAATCCGGGAGATCGTCTAGCTTTCGCGAATTACGTTGTTATCCGGGCTGATAGATTGACTGGACGGGGTGGCAGCTTTTCAGTGCTAGTGAAACGGGAAGTGTGCCATTAAAAATCACATCGGTGTATGCCAGGTGTGGTATCAGGCTGCAAGAGGCATATCTGGAAGTCCTTTTAGACTGCTCGGGTCCAGTTATTGTGGCAGGGGACTTCAACTGCAAATATCGAGCATGGCATTCCAGGTTGAATTCCACCAGTGGGATCCGACTGTACAACCATGTGATACGAAATGGCTACCTCATACATAGTACTGAGGAGCCGACGCACCACCCATTTAATCACCTTCAGGCACCTGATGTTCTTGATTTTGCATTATCCAAAAACTGTAGATACTTTATCACTTCTCGAATCATGTATGACATCTCAAGCGATCATCTTCGTTTTGGAAGTGGGTAAAGAGCAGACCTTAGAGAATGAAACCCCTCCAAGGAAACGCATTGATTGGGAGCTATACAAGCCGCTTCTCAGAGAGTTCCCCAATTTTCCGATCATAGATGGTGAGAGCGGTATAGATGCGGCTCAAGCGAAGTGGACAAGCTCTGCAGCGTGCAACTTCCAGTGCAGCGACACGGCAGACCTTTTCTGCCAGCAGACATTCGCCAGAAAATTTCTGATAAAAGGACTGCAACCGAAAAGGTCTTGTCATCCTGATGACATTCGCAGAGCGACGAATCTTATTCATGAAGTAAGAAATGCTCTTCATGAATTCCGCAATGAGAAATGGAACGACTTTCTGGCGGGGATGCTTGACTCAAGCATTCCTCTCTCGAAGGTAGCGAAGTCGCTCAGAAACGGAAAGCGTGAACAAATCCCGCACATCCACGGTCCTGGAGGCATTGTCTTCAGGTCAGAGAAGAAGGTTCAGGTTTTCGCCGATGCCATGGAAAGTCAGTCCTCTCCCAACGATGATCGTTATAATGACCTCGATGAGGAGCAATACATCGTAAGATCTGGCTGGAGATATTTTATGGCCAATGGCGTCAGTGACAGTAGCGCTACCGTTGATGACGTTTCTTCATCAGAAGATTCATCTTCAGAAGCTTCTTCAATCGAAGATCTGCTTAGCACATCAGCAGAATCTCCCGAGATCATCCCGCATTGCACACCAGCAGGGATTCAAGGTCATATTAAATACATTAGAGTGCGTAAAGCACCTTGGGAGGATCAAATCACTAATAAGGCGCTGAAGCTGCTTTCGCGGAAGTCCTTAACTTGTCCCGTGGCAATAGTCAATGCCATGCTAAGGACCCAGTACTTCCCATCCGCGTGGAAGACCGCTGAAGTTATAATGATTCCAAAGAAGATGGGTTCGATATTTTCCTAGGATTATCGTCCCATTAGCCTGCTGTCAGCTCCGTCTAAGCTCGCTGAAAAGGTGATTCTACGTCACCTTGAGAATTTCTCGACAGATCACCATGTCACCCGGTCTGAACATAGTACAGAGCTACAGGCGGCTAGGCTGGTGGAACGAATAACCAGAGGATTCACCCCTAACGAAAGTACTGGCATCTTGCTTTTGGATGTCTCAAAAGCATTTGACAAGATGTGGCATGCGGGCCTCCTGTATAAACTAATCCAAAAGGGCTTCCCTTTTTGGAAATCCTGGAAATCCTTCCTTGTAGGTAGGAAATTTCGGATAAAAATTGACAATGTCCTGTCAACAACACGGCTGATTACAGCCGGCGTCCCTCAGGGTTCGGTCCTTGGACCTATCCTTTACTCACTGTACATCTATGACGTCCCTAGCCCCAGCAACTGTGAAGTCTATCTCTATGCTGACGATACTGCATTAGTGGCTCAGTCGTGGTCTGGTGACCTAGTCCACGACAGGCTGCAAAGTGCAGTGGAGGAAGTATTAGATTGGGAGGATCGGTGGCTAATTAAAATTAACCATTCGAAAACGCAGGCAATCTACTTCACAAAAAGACGTCGCGGCGTTCCGTCTGAAGTTTCAATGAATGGGCTTCGTATACCATGGGAATCCTCCGCTAAGTATCTCGGTGTCATTCTAGACAAAAAGATGACTTGGCGGAATCATATAGAAGCGTTAAAAACTAAATTCCAAATTACGTTTCGACAGCTTTACCCATTATTATGTAAACGTTCAAAATTAAGTTTGATCAACAAGATTCGACTCCATAAGGTGGTCATAAATAAGACCAGCAATAACTTACGCATGTGCGGCTTGGTGATTTATTGGCAAAACACACATGCGAAATCTGCAGGTTCTGCAAAGCAGGACGTTACGCACTATTACTGGCTCCCCATGGTATGTCTCTAACGAAACTCTTCATAGAGACCTCGATGTCCCTCACCTAAATGACTACGTTTAGCAACAGGCGCAGCGGCGCTATGGCATAGCGGAATCGCACCTTCAACCCTCTGTTGCGCGAGTCAGTGGACTACACAGTCGAGCAAGTTCGCAAGCACAAGAGGCCGCTGCTCGCACTGTAATCAAAATTAATTCGTGAACTTAGAACAACCAAAATTGGTGCATTTTGACAAAATATTTAGAAAAAATCAAGTATTTTTAGACCGTATTAAAATCTGTGAAGTTATTTTAACAATGCCTACAAGCTGCCTATCCTAAAAGAGTCTCTTCTTCCTCTTTGCTCTCGTTCTTCCTTCTCTCCTTTTCTTCCCTTTTTTTTCCTTAAAATTGTCTGGTTTCTGGGTTACCAGACCTGACAGACTTACAAACTGACACTGTGACTCAAGAGCTAAGGTCCCACGGACCGCTCTGACAACCAACAGTGACTTAACGCGACCTGACTTGGTAACGGTCAAACACGTCATAAGCACCAGCCGCGAAACTCTAAAATTCCTGCCGGTGTCGTCAGATGCAAGCCCGGGTTTGACGAATGAAAGTTGCCATTTCATTGTATAATCCCGACAGTCACTTGTCTCGTCTATAAATATTTATGTTAATTTATAAGTGCAAATCTACGTGGAAATCTCTGATGTGTGAAATATTTCCTGTTAGGTGCGTACAATTACTGGAGTTGGAAGCGTATTAATATACTTTGCCAGCAAAATGGGATATATCTTCCCTCACCCATACAACTCCCGATTTTCAACTCCTACAAAAAAGTTTATGCAAATGTTCAGGAGTCTCCAAAACGTCAAAAAAACTGAGGTTTGTTTCGCGTTTTTAACCCTATCTCCACCGCTACATGACATTTTCAAAAACTACAACGCTTGGCATAGTAACCTTGTGTGAAAATTTCATCCAAATTCGAGCAATACTTTCCAAGCTATAGGCAGTGCAGAGATTAGCTGATGACTGACGGATGAGTGCTATGGTTTTTCTTGATGTACATGTCAAATAATGACCAAAAAACGTACAATTTTTTTACCGAAATTTTTCGCGATTACAATACTTCCTCGCCAAAAGGCGTGGTAAGAAAAAGAAATAAAACTTGTAGTTGAACGTCACATGTACCATACCGTGGTTATGGTTTGGAGCGCCATTACATATGGCGACCAGTTTTCATTAGTGGCGGTACGCTGGTACAACGGCATATCCAGGAAAGACTGGAGCATCCGTTTTTGCCATTTCCCTTCAGACAAAACCCCTCTTTTGGATGTCATTGCACTACTTGGAAAACTGAACCAAAAGTTTTTTTCGAAGGTTTTTCGATGCCATTTTTATTCTAAAAGTAATATTACAGATATACATACCTCTGGATAAAAAAATACGGTGGGAACGGCTTGCTGATGTCAAGAAAGCAACAGGTTGCATACAGATGTTCCAAAATAATCAAAACTTTAGAAGAATTAATTTTTTTTTTCGAAATTTGGATGATCACGATACTTGCAAGATGATATAAATAGAGCTGACTTGATACAAAACGTAAAAAAATATACAAAAGTGTTGCTGAAGACTGACTGCCCATTTTAACTGAGACCTCCTTCCCTATGGAGCCATTTATAGTTATTTCTTTGCAAGTATTGCAGATTCAAAAACCTTTTTGGTTTTTGTTAACAAAAAATCAAATAGTTGAAATCTTTGCTCACTTTGTATTTCCGAAATGATGTAGTAGAAGGAAATAGTCCCCTGAACGTTTGCCCCAGTGTTCCGGTTAAACACCCTTTATATACACGTAGACCTACATTTATAGCGAATTTTCTGATTCCATCAAATCCAAATGAAACTTTTTCATTGTAACGCGCTTTATGCTTTAGCAGAACGAGAGGTAATCATTTTTATCCAAACTCCTACGTATCACGCATATTACAGTGTACTCTCCTGAATTCGAAATGTTGGAGCTTTTTTGATAGAATCGGTGATCGAGCCTTCATTAAACTAATTCCTTTTTACCTTTAGGTACAACCGAGTGAAATGCAATAACTGGATAACTTCAGGTAATCAATTTTGCATATTTTATTTTGCAATATTGCCCCGGACGGCTGTATGGTGACCAGATCAATAAAAATAAAATTTTTACAGTGGTTATTGTTACCGCAAAAGGTCGATGGACCACAACCCAAACTTTGTGGCTTTTTGGCTGTTTCAGCAGATATCATTCAAAGAATTTATATTGGTGGTCAATAGATGTTGTAAAATTCATATAACTCTTACTAAGCTGTTCGTACTGATACAAAAAGGTATTCAGGTAAAAAAGCATGAAGTAAACGAGAACAGAGGCATTTCTTGTTGCTCCACGTTCTATTTGTTTATAGCCTCTCGTTAAACAATTAATTGTTTCTTCGCGAATCTCATATGTAACACATAATTAATTACTTATACAAGATTTTATTTGACTTTTGAATTTTGAACCAATTAACTTTATCCGAGTGAGCTGAAATTTTATATACCTATCACAATATGAATCCAATATGACGGATACTACAACATGACGATTTATCATTTCCCATGATATGAATATAATAATAATAACGATAATAATAATAACTTTTATTATAATAATAGCATTTATTACCCAACAGAATTATTATAATTCCGTTTACAGGACAAAGAGCTGAAGTATAGCATAACAATAAAAACTGCAATACAATTTGTTCAAATTTTAGGCCCGTATCGTCAGTCGTTCCTACAATTGCAGGACGCCTTTATGGCCTTCTTGATTTTCATAGTCTTTTCTCTCGTTCAGAAAGGCTGGGATATTTCGAGATTTCTACTGTTCCGTGTATGCGCCAGCGCTCTCCTGTCGTCAGGCTATATAACAGATGATATACATAGATCAAAGGATAAACAATTTAACGCAAGTAGATATTTGTAACACAACCTCAAAATAGAGTAGAAAACTATGATAATCAAGGAGGTCATAAAGGCGTCCTACAATATTGTAGGATCGACTGACCATTCGGCCCTAGAGAATAACCAATATTTATATTTGAGTTACTGCCATAAAACCTTCTTGAATTGAGGAAGAGAACACAGAAAGATATCACAAATACTGCATATCCAGTTAAAGTTCATGCACATGACCCTTACCCGAGATTTTAATTGCACGGGTGCAAAAGAGAAGGTATTGTTTCGAGAACATGTCCTTGGAACTAAAAGTCGGGATAACAGTTCTGAAGAATCAACAATACTATATAAAAGTTTATATAAGAAGATGAGTGAGTTATGTTTTCTTCTCTCACTGAATGAAGCAACTTGGAATCTTTCCAACAAATCTTGGTAGTCCGACCCACGCTGAGGATAAACTGAATTAATCTTGAAAAGCAGATATATATCACAGTTATATTAAGGAGTCCAAACCAACGAAGCATATTCCAATTTGAAAGTATAATGTTTTTGATGCAGCCAAGTCATTAATAATCTTCCGGTTTCGAACAATCAAGCCTAAAGCCCTATTGGGACTATTTAAAATTTGAGTAATGTGATAGCCAAAATTCATCCTACTGTCATATGTCACGCCTAAATCAGAAACCTTTTAGTGCCGACTGGTTACGTTTCCTCCGGTGTTATTAGGTAAATTACTATGTATGTATATATAACATATATATATATATATATAAAACATATATATATAAAACATATATATATATATATATATATATATCATATACGTAGTCATGCCATAAGTTCTGTCCCTCGTTTTCAAACAAGTGTAGACCTGTTAATACTTGTCCGATTGTTTACATTGTGGTGTCAGTTGATTAAGCGCTTTTCGGGTAATTACATATACTTCAGTTTGTATTGATCTCTCGAAGCATAACGATGGAGTGGGGCAAGGCAGAGAACCGTATTGCAGTGATAGCTTTACATAAGTGTAATCACAGTGCTAGTCAGATTTTTGAACTCTTACGCGGCCTTCAAATATCGCGTAAATTTGTGTCTAGGACCATTCAGCGGTACAATGAGACGTCCTCTGTTGATGACAGGCCAAGAAGCGGAAGACCTCGTCAAGTAAGGACTCCAGCAGCCATCAAAGCCGTAAAAGCCAGGATTCAAAGGAATCCACTCCGGAAGCAGAAGATCCTATCCAGGGAAATGAAGATTCCTGTCCGGACGATGTCGCGCATCATTAAACAAGACCTAGGGCTAGGGGCTTACCGGAGACGTACGGGCCAGCGACTTACGGCCACCTTGCGACACATCAGGGCGACAAGATCCAAGAAGCTCTTGGAGAGGTACGCAGCTGGGGGATTCCGAAAGATTTTGTTCACGGATGAGAAAATCTTCACCATAGAAGAAAAATTCAACCGACAAAATGACAAAGTGTATGCAAGGAGTTCACAGGAAGCTTCGGAGATCATTCCGAGAGTTGAGAGAGGCCACCACCCTGCGTCAGTCATGGTTTGGTGGGGGGTGTCCTACGAAGGGGTCACTCAGCTCCATTTCTGTAAACAGGGCGTGAAAACAAAAGCGGCAAACTATCAGAGCGACATACTGGATCCTATCGTCAAGCCATTAAGTGGTACATTGTTTGCCAACCAACACTGGGTCTACCAGCAGGATTCCGCCCCCGCTCACAAGGCTAAGAGTACGCAGCGCTGGCTGGAAAGCAATGTGCCAGAGTTCATTGCTGCGGAAGATTGGCCCTCAGGGAGTCCGGACCTCAATCCTTTAGACTACAAGTTGTGGGACCTGCTAGAGCAGTTGGCCTGCTCCAAAGCCCACCGTAATATCGAGTCCCTGAAAGCGGATTTGATCCGATCAGCGGCAGCTATTCCTTTGGAAGCTGTGCGTGCAGTGATAGATGAGTGGCCCGCGAGATTGAAGCAGTGTGTGAAGGCCAAGGGGGGACATTTTGAATAAAACTGTTTGATTATGAATTCTAAAAATGTTGTCGAATGAATAATATCTTTCATATAAATATATCTTATCTTGTTTCATTTTTATCATGAGATTATCATGGGACAGAACTTATGGCACGACTACGTATATATATACAGGGTGGCCCATCCATGTGGACGTGTGGACGGAATATTATTCATAAACAAATACATTTTGGAAAAATCTACTCATGGCATGTTATACATGACATCTGAGGGCATATTTCTAAAATATTGACAATTATACAGGGTATCCCAATTTTGACCTACATATCAAAGTTGTGATTTTTTAAAAGGAATGACTCAAATATATATATATATATATATATATATATATATATATATATATATATATATATATATATTGCATATTTGGATAAACCAATTCAAAAGAAGAAGATTGATATAACATGCTAATTAGGTACTGAGATGTAAGGTATTTTGTCCAGAAAAACCGTCCACTTCGGCAACCCCTCAATCCGCCATTTTGAAATTTGGAGTACTGAATTTTGTATCAAAAAAAAATTACACACCTCAGCTTTTATCTTATTTGTTACTTTTTCGAATTTCCATTTTTGCTCATACAGGGTGGTCAAAAACGCGAATTGTACTTTTTCTCAAAGATTTCAAATGCATCACCCTGTATATTTGTCCAAGTTTCAATTCAATTTTTTATAAGCTTTTTTGGTATAAAGTTTAATTGAGATAAAATCACTAGATTTGGAGTTATTAAGCTTTTAATAGAACAACACACCAAAATTAAGGAAACACATCACATCATCCATGGAAACAAAAGACAAACAGTGGGCTAGTTCCATATTACCACTAATAGTATAGATTTGACGTAAAAACTAATAACAATCAGAATAATACAAATCAGCTTCAAACGTATTAGAGAAAAACAACTATAACAACAACATAAACAAACAACTATCACTACTCAAGACCTAATCTACAAAAACTGCTCGAAAATATCTCCACCATGTTGAATACACAGCCGTAGTCTTTGGATAGATGACCGTCGCACATCCCTCAGCATGTGTTCCCTTATGTTCAGAAAATCATCCTTAATCCCTTCCTTCATATTTTCGGGGTAGATGGATATAAACCTCTTGCTTAACGTAGCCCCATAGAAAGAAGTCCATAGGTGTCATACCTGGTAATCTAGGAGGCCTTGACATAGGCCTATCTCGACCGATCCAACGATTGTTACTCTAGGTGTCCAAATAGTTACGCACACGATTATTCAAAATTCAAAGTATTCTGTACCTGAGAATCTGTTGTCGAAAAAGAAAGGCCCGATAACTGCTCTACCAATAACTCCTCCCCAAAGATTCAAGCTCCATTTATTTTGGAAATCTACTTGCCTAACCCAGTAAGGGTTTTCCGTCACATAATAGTGCATGTTATGCCCGTTGACAACACCTATGCTGATGCTAGGAAACTGTTTCTTTGGGCTTCGCCCAAAACGAACACCATATTCACTATTTATATAGAAAAAATCATTTTCAAACACGTTTTTATTATAATGCTCACAGAGCTAATTTTGACAGTATGTAACTAATCAACAATTTATTTGTTTCCAAGGATGATGCGAAATTGAATCCAAACGTGCACAAATATACGGGGTGATGCATTTGAAATTTTTGAGAAAAACTACAATTTGCGTTTTTGACCACCCTGTATGAGCAAAAGTTAAAATTCGAAAAAGTAACAAATAAGATAAAAGCTGAGGTGTATAAGTTTTTTTGATACAAAATTCAGCACTCCAAATTTCAAAATTGCGGACTGAGGGGTTGCCGAAGTGGGGGGTTTTTCTAGACAAAACACCTTATATCTCAGTAGCTAATTACCAAAACACCATAGTATGTGATATCAATTTTCTTCTTCTGAATTGGTTTATCCAAATATGCAATAACATTTGAGGCATTCCATTTGAAAAATCACAACTTTGATATGTAGCTCGCAATTGGGAAACCCTGTATAATGGCCAATACTTCAGAAATGTGCCCTCTAATGTCATGTATATAACATCCCATAAATGGATTTTCACAAAATATATTTTTTTATGAGTAATATTCCGTCCACAGATGGATGGGCCACCCTGTGTATATACCTGTATATATGCAGAATGTAACCAGTTTGCATTTATTAATATTTAGATGTAGTTTATTCAATCTACACCACTCTTCCAACTTAGATAATTGACACTGTAAGTACTCACAGTCAGTGATGCTGTTGATTTCAAACAACAATTTCAAGTAATTGCCAAATAGTAATATTTATAATATTTCTGATAAAAAGCAAAAAAGCAATGGTCCCAAGTTCCAACCCTGTGGTACCCCTGAAGACGCTGTATAACGAAAGG